TCAGTCCACTGAGCCAACCCGGTTTCGGCTTAAGCTTATATCACTTTAAAATGTATTTGTTTATATGTCTCAACCCTCTTCCTTCCTCAACACACCTTCATTTAGTAGGGAGGAGCACTGGCTTTAACACCTTGTATCTATTCTAACGGCGTTTGTCTCTCCGGGCTCATAGTTATTGGTGAGGCCGTAATTCCCCATTAAGCTTATGAACTTGCTGATGCTGGAGTTTGTTTTTGGTTCATCGTTTTGTCTGCTGTACTTTCTTATGCATCGCATAGAACAGAGTTATTAATAAGGATGAGTAATGGCAATATCCAGATGGAGCAGACTGTGATGTGACCTGTTGGTGAGTCAGGGCTGTGTGATGTGGAGACCTGGGGGAGGTCCGGGACACTTCCTGGCCGGGGCAGGGTGTCAGGGCCGTCAGATGACTTTCACCTGGAGTCTGAGGAGCCTGCTCCCTTGTTGGACACCTGGGCATAGGCCCCCTTGGCTTTGAGATTCTCCGCCTTAAAGCTTCATGAAGTGCTGTGACCTCATTGGGCAACCCCTGGCCTGGATTGGCTGTTCCCTTTAGTTCTCAATGAATCCGGGGTTTTGGACATTGTGCATCATAGAACCATCCTCAGGGATTTGGCCAGGACAGGAAGTGGGAAAGCAATGAGTAAGGAAGGACATTTAAAAATGCGAGTAGCAAGGAACCTGATCAGCACAAAGGATTTTCTATATTTAAAACAAACAGAGAGCCAAAACTGGTTTGGCTCAGTGGTAGAGCGTCGGTCTGCAGACTGAAAGGTCCCAGGTTCGATTCTGGTCAAGGGCATGTACATTGGTTGCGGGCACATCCCTGGTGGGGGGTGTGCAAGAGGCAGCTGGTCGATGTTTCTCTCATTGACGTTTGTAGCTCCCTATCTCTCTCCCTTCCTCCTCTCTGTAAATATCAATAAAATATATTTAAAAAACAAACAAACAGAGAAAGGAACATGCATCGCTCTTCTCCCAAAGGTCTTAAAATTGCTCATTGACAGGGGATCCGTCTTGCTCTCCATTCCTTCTCTGTCCCCAACCACCCCAAAGACTGAGCTGAAATCTGGGTGCCTTTGTAAAGTTTTCAAAACAGTAGCACAATGCTGCCAGGCTCCACGAAGCTGTCTTTTCCCTGCCTTCTCTCACTTGTAACAGTGCTCGGTAATGACATGGAATGTAAACACATTAGAAAAGTTAACTGTCTAATTCTCCCGGCACCTCTGTGGGGAGAGAGAGAGGTGGCCCCATGCCTTTGGGGCTGAGCTGTTCGTTTGGTCTGGGTGCATCTCATCGAGGTGTTCTCTCCTCGATGTGGTGCAGCTGGTGAAGTACCATCTGCTCTTAAGAGTGGCCTCCTGTGCTGCTGCTTGAAGTTTCCGTAGAAGCAAGGGTCAGCCGAAGGATAGGCTTCTGACCTCAGCACACAGATACCTCCAGTCTCTATAGCGTGGCCAGTTGTTACTATTTTGATTGCTAGACACATGGCAAAACATCGTATCTGTTAAAGGATGCAGAACTTTGTTTCTGACATACAGTTTCTGCTCCTGACACGTAAAAAGGGAAATTCATTCCTGCCTCTCTGGTAGTAATTTATGAGGCTTTTTATTGTTCTTTTAAAAAAGTCAGCCCTGGCTGGCTTGGCTCGGTGGATAAAGTGTCGACCTGCCAACTGAAGGGTCACAGGTTCAGTTCTGGTCAAGGGCATATGCCTGGGTTGTGGGCTCAGTCCCCAGTGGGGGGCATGGAGGAGGCAGCCAATCAATGATTCTCTCTCATTATTGATGTTTCTATCTCGCTTTTCCTCTCTGAAATCAATGAAAATATATATTTAAAATATTTTAAAAATTAAGTCATTTCTTTCTAAATATGTTTTGTTGTTTTTTTCTCCTTTTCAATCCTGAAGAATGGAATCTATCTATATATATAAAAGGCTAAGTGTCTGACCGTCTGATTGGTCACTGTGATATGCACTGACCACTAGGGGGCAGACGCTCGATGTAGGAGTTGCCAAGCTGCAGTGATTTGGCAGTGGTGGTTTTTGGGTGACGCACCCTGAAACCAGAGAGGAGGGAGCCTGATTCCTCGAAAGGTCACATGATTCCACCTTTGGCCATGGCGTATGTTGTTGCTGGGGCACTGTTGGCCCTGAATGTTGTTTACTGCGCACTTGCATTTAGGTTCCACACCATGTATGCCAGAAACTTTGCAGGGTGCCCTCCCTACTTGGGGGTCTCTCGGGGGATATGGGGAGCCAGTTTTGGCCCGATTCCCTCAGGCTAGGCTGAGGGACCCTACCTGCTGGAGGGACCCTTGCTCACTCCTCAGACATGGGGGAGGGCCCACAGGACGTTGGTTCCAGGGCATATCTGACCCTGTCTCATCCAGTCCCCACTCTCCGGCCACCTTCTAATTAATTTCTTTTCAATGCATGAGTCTGTGCACCAGGTCACTAGTATTAAATAACTTTTAAAAGGATACTAGTGGATTTTAAAAACCAGACTAGATGTTAAAAGAGCCTTATGGAACACAAAATAACTATTGTGCACTTTTAAGTTTCTTTAGTTTTAATACATTGCTTCAGCTAACCAACATGATTTCAATTTATTATGCAAATGTGACAATTATTCCATTTAAAAAATCTGTTGGAAAGATTGGGTTTCTGCCACCCAATCAATTATGTTGAGTATTTCATTTTTGGTTTTTGATTTGCTTATTTTGTTTTTAATGACAATTCATTTAAAGTAAAAAGTCTTTAAAGTGGTGAAATAATGTGATAACATGTCTTCCCTAGTAATTTAATACTTGGATGTAATGAGTTCATCTGAGAGATTTCATTAAAAACAGCAAGGTGCCTGAATACCAAAGCTGAGATGTTTTTAATCACAGAATTATAGTAATTATACAAATCCCAAGATTTTCACCAGATAGAAAAGGCTTCCAGGGCTAAAATACACTTTAAACTCAGCAATAACAACTGCATATTGTTCTCAGTTATACAAAAGAAAATTTTCAGGACCAGGGAAATATCGGAGAGAGTATTATGTGTTGAATCTTTAAAGAAAATTAAGAAATAAATTATTTTGATAACATAATAATATCTGTAAGGGTTGCATCACCAAGGTAACAGAAGGAGACTCTCGTGTGTGGCCATGGTATATAGCAGGTGCATACTTGCCAATGAGCCTTTATTGTTTACTATATTATCAGCATAGAGAGAATGCTAGAAGGAACATCACTTTCTTCTTCCAGAGACCCTGAAGTTTCTAATTTCCTGGAGCTCTCCTTCCAGTAAATGGGACAGACTGCCGGTAAATGAGATGATTATTGGCCCAAAACCTGGATTTCTGGGTTGGGTGAAAACTATATAAAGAATAATTTATTTATTGCCTGGCCAGTGTGGCTCAGCTGTTGAGCGTTGACCTATGAACCAGGAGGTCACAGTTTGATTCCTAACAGGACACATGCCCGGGTTGCCGGCTTGATTCCCAGTAGGGGGCGTGTAGGACACAGCCAGTCAATGATTCTCTCTCTCTTTATTGATGTTTCTATCTCTCGCTCCCTCTCCCTTCCTCTCTGAAATCAATAAAATATATTTTTAAAAGAATAATTCATATTTCCATTTGTGGCTTATTGAAAATGTCAAATTTTTATAAAAAGGGCAGGGCATGGTACCCCCAGGGAGCTTGTTTTTAAGAGAAGTGACAAAAAAAGATGCATCTAGGAAGATCTTAACAAAAATCTCTCTAAACAATAAATGCTTTTTGATCTATTTTCCATTTATCATTCTTTATTTATTTTTTTTTTTCTGGCTCAGATAGGTACTGGGGGAGAACACAGAAGAAGCAGTGTTGTAGTGATGACCGTGATGGGTGGAGAAAGAGGAAGGATGCCTGGGGAAATGGGAATGGCACATCAAGCTGACTCACATGTTATAGGCATTTGAAGTTGAGGGGCAGAGCATGTAATCAAATGGAAAACCTTATGATCGATCCATCTGGATATTTCTGATGAGAGTCAGGACACAGAATTCCTCCTGGGGGCTGGAGGGGAGACATGCCTGGGATTTGAGTCCCGAGAAGACAGTATATCTGGTCTCTGTTCTTCTCCCAGCCCCATCCTTTTCTATGCAAAACTCACCATCTCCCGTCCACAGGAGAATTGGAGAGTTTGCTAGAACCACCTTGCTTGCGGGCACATCCCAGTAGGGAGTGTGCAAGAGGCAGCTGATCAGTGATTCTCTCCCATCGATGTTTCTAACTCTCTGTCCCTCTCTCTTTCTCTCTGTAAAAAAAAATCAATAAAATAAATTTTTAAAAATTTTTGCTTTTTCCCTTTTAGCACCAAAATAATAGGTGCCACTGTGGAAAGTTCACAAGTTACAGAAAAGTGTAGAGAAGCAGAAAAATCACCATTAATACTTCCATCCAGAGAGATTTCAATTTTGCCATATTTCTTTCCGATGTAGTTTTGGTATCCTTTATTATTTATATGCATTGCTCTGCAAATGCATCTTTGCATTGTGATTTCCAAACATCTAACAATATTTAATCACCTGTTATAAGCATTTTCCTATAAACCCCATGGGCGATCTATTGAACATTGATTGGCATCGTGAACATAAGAGTGTTCTTATCTTGATTAAGTTAAGATAATTATTTGATCTCTTCCTAGGTCCCCTGTTGTCACCTGCTGCGCGTTTGGAAGGCTAGGATGGGTCTGAGTGTGAACACTTGGAGGTTTCAATTAACTCGTTGCTTCTGCCTGGAGGACCATCCTGTAGAAGGAGAAAACGTGCTCCACGGGATGCTTGACTTCGAGAGACAAGACGTGTTGTAGAAAGAAATGGATGAAGGCAGCTCAGGGGGCCCCAAACGCATGCTTCCCGTGGTCTAGTCCAGGGCACGCCCTTCCATGGGGCCCTGAGGTTCTGGGATGTCGCCAGTTCTGGACGCATGGCTGATTCCTGAGTGACGATGGTGCGCCGGGGGCTGCTTGCGTGGATCTCTCGGGTGGTGGTTTTGCTCGTGCTTCTCTGCTGTGCCGTCTCCGTCCTCTACATGTTGGCCTGCACTCCCAAAGGCGACGAGGAGCAGCTGGGGCTGCCCAGGGCCAACGGCCCCACAGGCAAGGAAGGCTTCCAGGCCGCCCTGCAGGAGTGGGAGGAGCAGCACCGCAACTACATCAGCAGCCTCAAGCGGCAGATCGCACAGCTCAAGGAGGAGCTGCAGGAGAGGAGCGAGCAGCTCCGGAATGCGCAGTACCAGGCCAGCGATGTCGCGGGCCTGGGCCCCGAGCCGGGCGCTCCCGAGAAAACCCAGGCCGACCTGCTGGCCTTCCTGCACTCGCAGGTGGACAAGGCGGAGGTGCACGCCGGCGTCAAGCTGGCCACCGAGTACGCCGCAGTGCCTTTCGACAGTTTCACCCTGCAGAAGGTGTACCAGTTGGAGATGGGCCTGACCCGCCACCCTGAGGAGAAACCCGTGAGGAAGGACAAACGGGATGAGTTGGTGGAGGCCATCGAATCGGCCTTGGAGACCCTCAACAGCCCCGCAGAGAACAGCCCAAACCAGCATCCTTACACGGCCTCAGATTTCATCGAAGGTTGGCACGTGGTGGATTGGGGTAGAAAGCAGAAGAAGAGGTGTCTGGGCCCAGGCATCTGGGGGTGGGGAAGGGGGGGTGGTCACAGCTGTCGGGGGCTGGCAGCTGGCTCTGGGGATGGCTGGTGGAAAGTTTTATGTGAGCGACACCAGTGCTGTATAGTATGGTTTTTATTTTTCAGAAACATCTGTTTCCACTTACTTTCTCATGGAAACCACAATCATTGAGTGGATAGATTCATTGTTCTTTGGCAGAAGAAAGTAGAACTTCTTGCTTTCATAAAAAAAAAAAAAAAAAAAAAAAAAAAAAGGAAGAAGAGAAACACGTAAAACAAAATGTAAACATAAAACTTTAAAACTTTAAATCCCCAGCGGAGTATGAGAGGTATAGTTTTAATTGATCTCTTCTCACGGGCGCTTCTCTCCTGGAGATGGGGCCTGGCTGTGAGGCCCAGGAACAGAAAGGTGGTAATGTGACATATGGCACTTACATCGGCCAGGCCCTGTTCCAGGGACTTTTTACTTATTAATTCACCTTTTCCTCATAATGACTCCATTAGTGAATAAGGGAATGGAGGTTCAAATGAAGTAAATTACCTAAAGTTGCTATTCAGTTAGCAGGTGACAGAGCCAGGATTTGAATCTGGGAAGTCTTGTTGAGCCATGCTCTTAACCATCAGGTTATATTGTATAGATGGGCCCTAAGGAACACATGGAATATAGTGAGATGAATGTGTGAGCCTTTTCTTTTCTTTCTTTTTTTTTTTTTTTTTTTTAATATATTTTACTGATTTTTTATAGAGAGGAAGGGAGAGAGATAGAGAGCTAGAAACGTTGATGAGAGAGAAACATCGACCAGCTGCTTCTTGCACACCCCCTACTGGGGATGTGCCCCCAACCAACGTACATGCCCCTGACCGGAATCGAACCTGGGACCTTTCAGTCCGCAGACTGACACTCTACCACTGAGCCAAACCGGTTTCAGCTTCTTTTCTTTTTTTTTTTTTTTAATAGGCACAGAACAACCTAGTATTAATTTGTAGTTGATTGTGTCCAACTTCACAAGAAAGCAGCTTGTCTAGTTTCTTAGAAGACTTGTTAGTATCATCTTCCCTATCAATTTTCCTATTGTCAGTGGTTCAACATCTATACTAATAAAAGGGTAATATTCCAATTAGACTGGGCATCTTCCAGACATCCAGACAAAGCCACAGTGGCAGGGGTAGAGGCAGAGGTGGTTAGGGGCTGATCAGGCTGGCAGGGGAGAGAGTTAGGGATGATCAGGCTGGCAGGGGAGAGCAGTTAGGGGCGATCAGGCTGGCAGGAGAAGGCAGTTAGGGACGCGATCAAGTCATCAGGGGAGGACGGTTGGGGAGCAGTTAGGGGGTGATCAGGCCAGCAGGGGAGGGCAGTTAGGGGTTGATCAGGCCGACAGACAGAGGCAGTTAGGAGGCGATCAGGCAGGAAGGCAGGCGAGTGGTTAGGAGCCAGTATTCCAGATTGTGAGAGGGATGTCCGACTGCTGGTTTAGGCCCACAGGGATCAGGCCTAAAGCAACAGTCGGACACTTCCTGAGGGGTCCTGGATTGGAGAAGGTGCAGGCTGAGCTGAGGGACCCCTCCCCATGCATGAATTTCATGCACAGGGCCTCTAGTCAACTAATAATTTGGGAGAGGAAGTACCTTCAAGGGCATCCAGCTCTTTCCCCTGTTTCATGATAGAGTTCATTATAGCTTCCGAGACATGTCTCCGGGTCCACATTACTTCATTCCCTGCTTGGTTCTGAGCCACCATCTCTCAGCCTGCATGGCAAGGTAGACTCTGTTCAGTTGTAGCAAAAATCCTCCCACTGTTATTTATGCCTGTTTTCTTTGGGCATTTTCCTGTCTTAGGATTTTTTTCAACTTTATATGTGAACCATAAATTCATGCAATTTTGCCATATTATCATTTTTCATACACCAGAGCCAGGTAAAGAAATCTTTTACAAGACCAAGCTTTTGGTGTCAGGGTTGGGTTGGTTTTTTTTTGTTTGTTTGTTTGTTTTTTATTCACTTGTATATGGTGTTAAAAATGCCTAGTACCTTTGACAGCAAGTATATGCTCATGGTGAACACTCAGAGATAGAAATATCATGATGATACAGCATCAGATTTTATAGCTTTAGAGTTTATGAAACATTTCCACATATATTATCTTAGTAGCTGATCCCCAGGGAAATCATTAAATATCCTTGAAAACTGAATCCTGGTTGCCACTGGAGTATGCTACAGAAGCTGCCTACGTACAAAGCAATTTCAAAAGAACTTGATTATACATCAGTGCCTATAATTTGGAACATTTGTCCTTCCGATCTTTAATCTGCATTCATGTTTGAAATCTCCGTCTGCTTTTCTGATACAGCAGCTTAATACATAAGGACTCCTGTTCTTGATCGGCAGTGACGTAGGCCTCTTACCCTGAGTTTATTTGCCCTGAGATACGCCTGACTTTCTCTCAGAGGCACCGTAATCATAGCTGTGTGACATTGGTTTCACATGCAGCACACAGCCTGCATTTCAAAGCAGATCACTCTACATTTGGTGAAAGTCTAGTCAGCTGTTTTCATAGGACGAGAAAATGGGCACAAGCCCTTTAAATATACGGGGGTGGGTAAAGACAGGTCTGCAGTTGTGAGTAAGTGAAACACAGAGTTTATTCTTGTATTACTATTTATTAATCTTATTGTTTTGTTTTCCATCTATGACCTCCTTTAGCCCACCCCTGTATTGATACATGTTTGACTGTCATAAGAAGCCGTTTATGTCATGTTTCCATTCTTGTCACAGAAGATTGTGGAGGCCTGGTAAAAGACACCCGCTAGTCAGAGGAAAGTACAGGGAGGTGGAGGTAAATTCAGCGGAGGAGTGCTTTCCACATAGTGATGTTTTATTTTATTTTTAAAATATTTTTATTGATTTTTTTACAGAGAGGAAGGGAGAGAGACAGAGAGTTAAAAACATCAATGAGAGAGAAACATCGATCAGCCGCCTCCTGCACACCCCCCACTAGGGATGTGCCCACAACCAAGATACATGCCCTTGACCGGAATCGAACCCAGGACCCTTCAGTCTGCAGGCCAATGCTCTATCCACTGAGCCAAACCAGTCTCGGCCACATAGTGATGTTTAGAACAAAGTGGGACTTCTGGGACCACAAGCATGAATGAATGGTTATACCCGAGGTGAGGCGGGTATAACTCAGAGAAGCAGTTGGACTGACTTACGTTAGAGGACCTTTCTAATCCTGAATAACGATTCTCTGATCCACACCTAGTCACGGAGGAAGAAGGGACTGGAAAGGGTCTGATATGAAGTTTTCTGCAACGAGTTAGAGCAAGTGATAGGACCATACAAGGGTGAAGTATATCTTCAATGTTCCTTATTTGGGTTTCTAAACATAACCTTAGAGAAACTGAGTTTGTGTTTGGGGAGTGGTTTAGTTGGAGTAATTTAGAAGTCCACGGGAAAATTTTAGGTTACCAGGGGAATGTTCCAGACTCTCAGAGCTTTAAACGAAGGCCACCGATTTGCTGGTCCCTGAACTAATACAGTGAACACGGGGATTGTTTGTGTTTAAAGAAATAATAATAAAAGCCCCTGGGATGCTCCCAGATGATAATAGTCACATAAAACGTAAAGCCAGCGGTGAGGCAGGTAGCATGATGACCTGAGCATGGGAAACTGTGTGACTTTGACCAGCACCCTTAAGCTCCCTGACACTCAGTCTCCTCATCTGGACTTGGGTGTCTTCCAAGGCCCTGCCCAGCCCCAGCCTTCTGCAAAATATAGAGCGTTGCTTTAACTTCTTTTCTTCTTGGCTTTGCCAAGGTGCCATCCCTGAGGGGTGCTCTGCTGCCCACTCTGCTGGCTGACCGAGGATGCCCCACCTACCCAGTGGGCTCTTCCTCCATAAAAGGAGGAATTCAAGTAGACGATTTATAGTCCTGTCTGACTGAGGCCACTTTCTACAATTCTGTGAAGCCTGCAGCAGGAGATACCTCCTTGGTGACTGTCTAATTTATTATGTATTCTAGAGGCCCGGTGCATTTGTGTGCTGCACGAGGGTGGGAGGGGGGGGGGCTGTCCCTCTCAGCCGGGCCTGAGCCCTGCAGAGAACAGGTCTAAGCCAGCAGTCGGACATCCCCCGAGGGGTCCTTCGCACTGCCTCGGAGGCGGGAGAGGCTCTTGCCACCGCTGCTGCACTCGACAGACAGCCGTGAGTCTGGTTTCTGGGAGCGCACTGACCACCAGAGGGCAGTTCCTGTGTTGAGCTTCTGCCTCCTGCTGGTCAGTGTGCGTCATAGTGACAGGTTGTTCCTCCGTTTGGTCGATTTGCATATTAGCCTTTTATTATATAGGATTGCTTTAATTCTTATGGATCTCTAAAACACATAGGGAACAACATTTGCCTCCTTTTCTCTTTCCCCAGATGTTTCTTTGGCACTGATTTTTATGTTGGATTCTCGCATGAATTTTTTTTTGCAACCATCTGGGAAACGAAGCTAACGTAGAAAAAACGTGATCAGGTCCTGTGCCCTAGGAGCCTGACTGTTTATCTCCTCCAGTCAACAGAAACTCCTTCTCTGTTCTTATGGTTTAGTTATTCCTTCAGTGTGGGGTACGCAGACTCTGCATGGCAGAACTTTTGGCTTTCATTTTATGTTTTTAAACATACATTTGATATCATCCCATAAAACAGTTAGCTTTCTACATGATTCCTCTTTTATAATCCAAACAGCTGGTCATGGGAATCCTGTGTGAGGCATTTCTAACGTCTGTCTCCACGGGGTTGCTCTTCTGTCACCAGCCTCTGCAGCTCACCCTCCTGCAGTTTTCTCAGGGTTAGTGGTGGCAAGAGAGGGCTGTCAGAGGCTAGAGGACTTGATTTGGGGGCGAGAGGGAGCCAAGCCACAAATCCCAAGAAGCTGAAGGTTTTAAAGGCACCCTCTGATGTGTTGTAA